GTGTTACAGCCTGCTTTTCTGTCCTGCAGTGGAACCCTCCAGATTGGCTAAACATATCAAAGCATAAATCTCAATAAATCATCTTTACCAAAACAACAACAAAAGCAAGTATTGAAACAGCAGCATTGGTACATCAACACATTAGGCAGATGCACATGTTGTCATGAGTTCTGGCCAAACTAAATAGAAATTCTGAATGCTGAGATCATGAAAATGAGAAAATTCTACACAAGACCATCTAGTAACTATGACTTGGAGGAGGAGTAAGAACGCTTAGACTGTCAGATCTAAATTGACATACTTAGTTGTCTGGCCCTTACCCTTCTGGATATGCTATAATGTTGTTCTGTCCTTGTGTCTATGGTAGCAGTGCTTCATGTTAACTACTGAATTAGGATGAAACAAACTAATGTGTTTGCAGGTGTTTGTTTAATTAGTACAACACCTGCGGGCATCATCCATTTTTCGATTGCGCTGTTATTTATTTGCATCATAATTGATTGCATATTGAGTGCATTGAGCACCTTAAATCCACAGACTGGATCATACCCTTAAAGTTTAGGCCACACTAAGTGTTTAAAGTTCAGGTTATGAACTTACTTTATAAAAAAGCAAATAAAAATTAAAATCGAACTTTAAAACATACTGATTTTAAATTTCTGTTTGACCTACTGTAACTTGCCAGATCCACTCTTGTGAAGGAGCCACCCTTTAGAGTGTGTGATGTTTTTGCAGCATCTCTAGCCAGACCTCTGAACTAGCTCTGTGACCTTTCTGCATTATGGCCTTAATCAAGCTACCTGCTTGACATTTTTAAAAGAAGGTTTTTTCTCTCCTTGGCAGTTCCTGATGTGTATGGCATTATTCTTTAACCATAGATAACTTCCAAGGCGTGCATGCATATTAAGAAGCACAAAAGGTCGGTGAAATTGTCAGTTCCACTCAAAGCACTTAAAAGTATCACATTATAATTTGTAGCTCAGAAATTGAGCATTCCTCCTGCTATACTTTTAGTACGAATCATTCAAAAATTCTGAAGAAGCTTTTTCTGGGATGCACATGTTTTAGTTGGCCTTGGTAATCAGTTCTCACTGTTCTGGAGAGAGAAGTGGGATCCTGATTGTGATGTCACACCAAGTGCCTGTGAGCCCCAATTCATTTGCTGGAAAATGGGAACTGAGGTTCATTCATGGACTCTGAGCCTTCAAAAGCTTCAGAAAGTTAATGTTTCTCTGTGTCCTTTGGACTGCAACCTCCATGAATCCCAGCTAATGTAGCTTAATATCAAGTATAGTGGGAACTGTAGTCTTAACTACTAGAGAACACCAGGTTTTACCCATGCCTTTGGACTGTGTAGGAGAAGGGTGGGAGATCTCCTTAGGAGAAAGTGCATGCTTACCAGTAATGCTCTATCAAGTACATTAATGAATTCCTGTTCTTCTCTTTAAATACATTTTAGCATCTGAAATGCACATTAAATATCTGAAATTAGTTCATCAAGTGTAATTGTTTACAAAATAAATTCCAATATTTTCACCCTGTAAAGTGTCCAACCAACATTTATAGAAATGGGATCAGCACTGATTCTTTTCTTGAATACCCATGAGTAACAGTATTAGAAGGAGCCTATTTCCCTTATGCTCTCCTTTGGGCTTCCCACAGGCATCTGACCCCTGCAGGGAGCAGGAAGGCCTTTGGTTAGATCCAGTAAGAGTTTATTTATTTTTATTTATTTATTAAAACATTTTTATGCTGCCCCATTTGCCGAAGCCTCCGGGCGGCTTACAACAATAAATTAAAAATAATTATAATATTAAATTACAAAAAATATAAACATTAAATTAAAAATACAAAAATACAATATAAAATAAGTCACCCTTATTATCTTGCTCTTATGTTAATGGCAGGCATTTAGCTAGTAATATAACTGAAAATTTTGAGCTTTCCTGTTGTTGAATCGAGCTCTGCTTGATTTTGAAATCATATCCCATGTAATCTTAGGCTGCTGAGAAAATAGAATAGTGGAGTAGTGATCTGGTACCATTTTTATTTGTCTGTGTAGCTCCACTATTTTCAATGCGGAGAAATTGGGTGGGATTACTTCTTAGGTTTTCACTTGATCAATTCAGCCTTTTAACATCTGATACTTCTGATATAGGTTGCCTTGAAAAGACAGCGTGGTTTCTGACCTATTTCTTAAAAGTCATGGGGGGGCATTAATGAGTGAACTCAGTGTTAAATAGGGGATTAAAAATAAAAGAAAGAAAAATGTGGAAACATTAAACAAAAGATTCCTCTAAGGAAGAAGAAATCAGATGCTATACATTTTTCAGGAGCACACATATCAATATTTATTTATAAAATTTGTATGCCGTCCAATTACTTGCGTCTCTGGACGGCTTACAACAGGAATAAATTAACCATCCACACTGGCTGCAAATTAATAAAATTCAATAAAATTCAATATTAAAACATATTAAAATATTGATTAAATAATATTATATGTCTCTCTATTAGAAACAATTGTGATAGACGACTTTAAAGAAAACTGTCATACAGTAATCTCCAAACAGTATTGTATTAGACCCAGACTTAAGGTTCATTCCTATGTCTAGACAAAGAAAATGCTCACAATTCCCAGCATGCCCCTGCCAACCATGGAACATGCCTAGAGCTCCAGACCTTTTCTTTGTCTAAATATACATGGAATTGCATCCTTAGTGATACTTAGTCATGACTGTGTTAAGTTGCACTGATTTCACTGTTTCTACTTGAAATATGTTCAAGTTCTCTAAATTCCATCTCAGTGCTCATTAAATGCAAGTTTGTATTGGCTTTGTTTTTATTTTTTGCTTAAATTTTTAGGCATGCAGGAGCTGCCAAAATGTATTCAAATTTTAAGAGATGTTATCTATGTATTACTTTTTGAAGTTGAACTGAATTACAGTAGCAATGTGTAATATGAAGTTTGCTCAAAAGATGGCATTAATTAAATGAAAGCTAGCGTCACCATGCAACAGTTTTTAGTACAGTTTTTTCCTTTCTTAAAATGTGTATACATTTTTGGCCCCCTCTGTATTTTATTTTGCAAATGTATACTTCAGTTGAGTGCATCTTTGAAATGTGTGCATTCATAACCCATTGATAAAAGCAAAATTGTGTGCATTTTTTTTGCAAAAGTAAGCATTCTAATGCACATGTTTCAAGTCTAATCATTTGGTCTGCAAATCATACTGCAAAGTTGGAAAAGTTCCAATGTCAATTGTGTCATGTTTATTTTAAAATGTTGCAAACAGAATAAATTTTTCAATCAGAAAATATACCACTGGTGTCATGGGGAAACATATTAAACAAGAAAATAATCCAGGCATCTTTGTGAGCAGAAAGTGATTGCTATTGGTGAGATTTTGGTTGATGCTTCTATTTACAGCAAAGATACCTTAATTGTGCATTCCCTTCTAGAACGTAGTGAATTTTTTGTACCTATATATAAAAATGAATACAGTGGAAGTTTGATATTTCACCCGAACTTGGCATTTGTTTATTTTATCCTTAATTCTTGGTTATTTTGGAATAACTCCCAAGCACTTACCACTGTACAAAATGTTAATTAAAGTGAATGAACTTTACTTTTGAATGTAAAATCAAGTAGTGAAATATTGCTTTGAACAGAGAAACAATTACATTCCTACCTGAGGTTACAAAATTAAGACTGAGGGCTTAGTCCCATGGGTGGTGAACACTGTCTGGCAAGCCATAGGAAAATTTGGAGTCCCAGCTCTGAACTGGACCTCTGAATTCAGAGCATCCTCCCCCAGTCTTGCAGCTGGCATGGTTCATTCCATGCCAGCTGTAGCTGTGAGGTTGCAAGACCAATGCCAAAGCCAATGCTGAGGAGGTGATTTTCTGGGTGACACAGAAAGGAGGAGTGAGACTCTGACAGGGTGAGATGGATCCGGGCATTGACTCTGTCTGTCCGTCGCACAAGCTGGTACCAAAGACAGATGGGCAGAAGGAGCCATCTAAGTCTTTTTGCTGAGTGATTTTTGCCTTTGTAGTTCTTTTGATTTCAATAGGATGCCTGTAATCTGAATTCATAGGGTTAAGGGTAACCCAGTTGGATTGCACCCTTAGGTTTCATCCAGGAATGAGTGAAAACATTTACATGTAAAGTTTTTACCACAGTGTTTTACACATTTTTCCACGCATTGCTTCATAAAATTAATAATAAATTAACATAATGAATGTCAAGTTTGGCAACTGGAAAGTGTATCCATACTAGTTAAATAAAATTGTATCGATATTATTTATGGTATGCTTTTATGTCCAGAAAGAAACCTCCTCCCCTGATGACTTAAAATAAGATTTAAAACAAAAAACAAAACGATAGGGCAAGGGAAAAAATGAAAACAGTATGGAATTACATTCTAAATCATTCAAATACTATGTGGAAGAAAAACGGTTTAATGGCCCACATGAAATGAAACAAGATTGTGCTCTCCTAACCTCTCTAGGAAGGGGAATTCTACAGTTAGGATACACTACAAAAGAGACTCCGTTCTGTGTTCTTAACCAATCTAACCTTCTAGAAAGTTTCTATGCTTCCTTAAGAAGATGTGGAGCTTCACTCTTTCCCAATATGCATTTATTATTGCTTGCCGGACTTAGCTAGCCAGGGCGTTCAGAAGCCTATCATCTCCTCATGAAATTGTGGCAACCTAAGGAAAAAAACAAGTTAAGCCTACATATAGCTACTTTCAGTATTAGGTCAGAAAGTTTAGGCTGCTTGTGGGTGGGTGAGTTTTGAACTGATGAAGATTGGGATGCATATGCTGCTATTGATTTAAAAAATTGTTATCCTGTCAGTTAATTATCTTTTTTTATATAGCCTCCTAGATATATTTCATCTAAAGCAATTGTGTAATTGTGTAGCTTTGTATGATGTGCTTTGTTATACAGTGTCTGCTTTTCCTGTAATAAAATTATCCCTTTCCATTTAGGACTCAGAATAACTGTGTTGTTAACATCATTTCTCATGGTGGTTGGAGCTGGCCTGAGATGTGTACCTGTATCAGACCAAGAGACAAGGAAATGGTAAGAAGTTTATGTGTTCCTTTGAGGGGAGGTTTCTGATTATCTTATCAGTGGAACATCCAAGTAAAAGATTTAATGTTTTAATTTAGATACAAAATTGGTAAGAAGCAGAGTAGTGATCGTTTAAACAGAGAAATATACAAAGAAGTTAATTCATAGAGTTAGCCATGCTGCGTGCTGATATCAATAATTCTTTTCTTTAATGAATTAAAGAGACCAATTAAATAAAAACTAAATCAAGACTAGTTGTTCAGGTAACATTAACATATTTTAATTACTTATTTACTGAAACAAGTATGTTTCCAGCATTTGACTATAAAAATGGCTTTATTTTATACAATGTGCTCCAGTATTCCTATTTCTAGCTACTTTATAATATCACTAAGAATTGCTGATAGCAGCTTCACCCACATGTAGCCAACGTAGACTAGATGAATGTAGGGATTGAGCAAGAGGAAAATTTGCAAAAACCAAGATATGTATGAACTAGTCATAACTGAAGTAGCAATAGTGTTTTCAGTAAGTCATGTACTTTTAAGTTGCTGAAGTTGCATGGCTTCATAGTAGAAGAGGTTCTCCCTAGCAAATGCATTCTTCATACTGTTTATTGGTTAATACTAGCAATTTAAATTAGACACTGAACAGACAAAAATGAAAGTAGAGGTACCATTCTAAATCATTGCTTATACATTGTGACGCTCACACTGTATTTTGGGATTAAATTGTCACTACTGTTGTGTGCTAACAAGTTATGTCCAATTTATGGTGATCCCATGAATGAATGCCTTCCAAAATTTCTTGTTCTTGACAGCCTTGCTCAGCTCTTGTAAAATTAAGGCTGTGGCTTTCTTTATAGAAACAATCCACCTCATGTTTAGTCTTCTTGTCCGTGATACAAGGTTTTGCATCAGGACAATCCAGCTGAGGTGCACCCAGCTCTTCCATAACCATCTGTAGCTGACTGTGTTCCTCAGTCAAAGGCCTTGCTGTACTCTATAAAGCATAGACTGATATTCTTGTGAAATTCTTTGGTGCACTTCAGTGGCCAACTTATTTTTGCAGTAAGATCTTGAGTGCTTCTGTGTCTTTGGAATTCACCTTTTTTTTTTTGTCTTGCGAATTTTCTATGAAAAGATGGCATATAAATAAATAGAGTTTTTACTAGGCTTGTGCCTAATACAGAAATAAAGCAATGCCACTCTGTAAACATCTGAGATAAGATATATCCTGAATTAATATAGTTAATTGAATGCTGCAGTGGAATAGTGCCCGCCCACCTGCCCTCCTTCCCTCAGTAGTTATGTGCATTTGTTTTTGGCTTTTCAAAACATATGATGTTTTCCTAACTGTGCTTATGCCTACTTTTGCTCCTGAACTGAAAACCTTAAATTATTCTGTTAGCTTTTGAGGGGAAACGTGACATTGAGATTTTTGGCATAATTGTGTAAACCTAAGCTAATTGTTACTTTACTAGAAGCTCCTTCTTGTCAACTTACACAAAATTGACTAATAGTGGTTTTCTTACTGAAAATATATTAAATTTATGTTGTATGTTTCCATCAGGATTGTTGTGAGCTGGTCTCTTCCCTCTGGTTCCAAAATTCAAGACAATCCTTTGAAATGCAGTTCCTTTATTGAAACTCAGCAGATAACAGTTTGACAACTAAATAGGCTTATTGCCAAAGGTTAAAAGAGAAGCACCTGGTCCTGAAAGTCATTGAATCCAAACTGGAAACTTCCCCTCAGTCCCTCTCTTTCAGTAAAGCTTCTGGTTCCAGCTTCAGGGTAGCTTTTCCTGCTGTAGAGCAAGGCAGAGGGGACAGCAAAGCTCCCTGCTCATTTCTCCCAACCTGTTGCGTCAAGGACTGGGTCTTGCATTTGCTCCCCCTCCCCTCTTGAAAACCCTTCCACCTTCCAAAACAGGCTGATTCTCATGCTCTGCCCAAGAAACTTCACTAGGCAACCTTGAAGGAGCTTCAAAGGCTTTACTGACCCCACTCCTGCCCCTCTTCCTCATTTTCAGAATATGACAACAAATCTAGCCCAACAGTCTGAGTCCTGGACCACTCTTGGCATGGATATTTAAGTGTCATGTCAAATCAAGATTTCAGATCTTTAGTTTTTAAGCAGAGTTCAGTTTCCACAGGCAGAACTTCTTTCTTCAGATCAATAATTCTACTAGCTAGGAGCAACTCTGTGCCTTCATTAGCGTCAGTCTGTTCACCATATTCTAGTTCATTACTGACCTCAAGTACTGAATCAGAACCTTAGCAGTTTCCCTCAAATTTGATGGAAAGAAATGAACGAGTTCTTTGCATATTTATGTGTAGAGGCTTCTCTGGGCTGCTCCATTGAGTATTACGTTACATAGTGGCCATTCTGGGACATAATCCTAAGCCAACATTTGATGCAGGGCTGGGCAATTTATGGATCTCCAGTTGTTGTTGAACTGCAGCTACCATTACCATTCACAACGGGGTGAGCCACAAGTTGCCCTCCCCTGGTAGAGTGAAGTATGAATGAGCCCCACTTCCTGTTAGGCTTGCAAGTTGCCTCTTCATTTCTGTATGATCCCACAAGACTGAGAGTACCTCCACTTTTAGCAAACTGTCATTTGTCATGTCATCTAAAGTGACAGCCTGTGGTAAGCATTAAATAAATTTAGCTTAAAACTAGCCAACTTCAAACCATGATTTCTGTAGTTGCTTATTTAAACTAGCCATAATTAATGTGAACTACACTGCAGAAAATATAGGAAGCCACAGTTAAAGTGAAGGACAAGGAGTGGGAATTACACAAGATTTGGAGGAAGTTAGGTGTGTACACATGAAGCTGAACCATTATCCATTGCATTGTCAGATGTGGCCTTACAGAGAATCATACAGATTTTCAAACAGATTGTGTTGCTAAATTCTTTAATTCCTTCTGTTTAGCACCAAGTGTTTTGTTCTTGGGCAGTGGCTTATGTGTTATTTCAATCCATGCTAGTGAACTGCTAGATAGAAAGATTAGGTTAGAGTTCTGTTTTAATGAAAGCATTTCTTGTTATCCTGAAAAAGAGGAGAGAGAGAAGGGGTACAGTATACATTGGTGTCAGGGCTGGACCATGGACAGCAGTCTGAGGTGAGCTAGGAGCCATGGAACATAGCAGAATTCAGGACTGTAGGATAACCAAGGATACAGGAACGTGCCAAAGCTTATATTGTTTTGCTGCAACATGTCTCAGCTGAAACAGAAGGCTTCTTATACCCCCTTCCTGCCCGGAATGATCCACTGATCAGCCTGAGAAGCTGAGCCATTGTTCACTGAGAAGTGGCCTCTTGTTGTGCAGTGGTTCACCACATAAGGGAGCAGCCCCTAACAGTATTTGGGGCCAGTAAGGCAGCTTTAATCATCCAGCATTCCCTGTTAGCAGTGAGATAAAATATTTAAATTATGGATTTAAGTGTTACCTATGTCAATTACTAGTTACAATCTGAGGCTATTTAAGTGACCTAGTGGTAGGCATTAATAGTTTAAATTTAGTTTTCTATCATCTGAGACCTGCATGATTAAAAACTACCATGAAACCCTAATGGCAATTGCTCATGGATATCCAGGGATTTAAAGGGACTACGAACACTGGGTTTTTACTACCTTCTGTCTCTAATGTTCTCTTTTCTGCAAATTAAGATACATACCATTAGCTTAGGGTGCTAAAATACCCATTGTTTTTGCTTACAGCATAGCTCATTAAATAAAAATACTTGATTTCCAAACATTTTGCCAGAAATGTAAATTAAACATCAAGGATTGTGCATGGTATAAATTCAGTGGAAGAGTGTAGAAGTATCCTTACTTCTATGAGTATCATTAAAATAACTTCTGATTCTTAGGTTTCCAATTTTTTGAAGGTACACAGTTGATGAATAACTGTAGTTTGTGATTTTGCAAGCATACTTGACATTTTTATCCTTCCTCCCTACTTCAGATAAATAGATCATCTTTTTCCAGCTGGGTATAGTAACTATATGCAAAGGGAGGCCCATAGTGTTTAGCAAAGCTTTTGTTTTCCCCTTTTAGAGCCTGTGTGTATACAGTCATGTGTGGAGCCAGCATATTAGAGCAGCAGCAGGAATTGAGTGGTCTGTGTGTCCTCCTGCGCTACTGCAGTGGATTATGTTCATCAAGCAACTAGTATGGAGGGTCTGTGGGAATATAGGAAAGTTTTCTATATCATTCACTGGGTTCTGTCAATGCTACTAGAGCAGACCACCTTCTCAATAGGAATGTCTCCTTCCTTCCTTCTTCATTAGGCTATCCCAGATCTGCTTCTCAGTGCTTCAAAACAGATTTGGAAGGAAATGCAGGAGGCTTCAGTGGGGAGAGGGAATCCATTCTTTCAGTGACATCTTTTCTGATTGTAAACAGTTATAGTTGGATGCAACTGATTTCCTGTAATTTTCTGTTACGCTGCCTGTACTTTCTGCCTACAAAAGTCTGAGAACCTTTATTTGCTCATGAAAAAATGTCCATCATGTTAAGCTAAATATGATCAATTTGCTAATTATCCTGCTGTCATAACAGTGCATGCAGGTGTGTGTAAGAATTTGACTTTTGATAATACTTTGGATTTGAAATCCATCATATATTTAAAAGATAAGCAGCAGCTAAAACCATGGAATGTAAAAGCTTGAATTTGAAATGAATTGTGACAGCATAAGCAACTGCAGACAATGGCTGCAATAACTGCATGTAACTCTTCTGTGCATGACAAGTCTTTTTAGTAATTTGAGCTGCATTTTTTTTCCAGACATCAAATTTGTACACATTGATTTGACAGCTTGAGACACAGTATCAAGCCTTTGAGGTCAACTTTAGCCTGACTCTTCTGAGTAGAATCAAAAGAAATAATGAAATATATTTAAAGAGCTTTAAAACATAGATTTAAGTGGAAAGCAATCCATTGTTTTCAGCTAATCAGATTTAGTGCCCAATTGATAGGTTTTTTTTTTTTTTTT